ATAATTTCTTTCTCTATGGGTATGATGGTTTGGTAATTGAAGTGATCTTGCTCGGAATCAGCTTACTGGTGAGATTCCTAGGCTAATATATTGGAATGAAGTGCTGCAGTACCTGTAAGTGCCGGAAACATTGTTACAAGCAAGATTTCAATTTACAGTGATTCAAATTTATTGGTTGTGGTTATTATATGATAATTTGTAGCAAGGCTGTAGTATATATGCTACAGAAGCCTCAGCATTTCTGATTCTTTTGGTTGAAAATGACTTTACAGTGGATTGCGTGGAAACTCTTTGACTGGATCACTGTCACCAGATATGTGTCAATTGACAGGCTTGTGGTACTTGTAAGTGACATACAACCTAAGTTCAACTATTTTTTTTTTGGTCATTCCTTCTCTATTATTTTGTTCCTGTTATTAACTTAAAAAAAAATTGTTTTGTCCAACAGTGATGTTAGAGGCAATAATTTGACTGGCCCGATCCCTGACAACATTGGCAACTGTACAAGCTTTGAGATCCTGTATGTTGTCTTTAAAAGTTTTTAGTCCCCCCTCGCATACAAAAAATAACTGAATCTTTTGTTTGAAATTTTTGTAATGGTTATGTTTTGGAACTACAGGGATATATCATATAATCAGATAGCCGGTGGAATCCCATATAACATTGGATTTTTACAAGTAGCTACGCTGTAAGTTTTATGGCTTTTGACAGTTGTAGTTATTGTGGACTTCATCTGATGACAAGGTTATAAAAAGCCTTTTTTGTTTGGGTATTAAGGTTATGGTACTTTTGTTAGGTCGCTTCAAGGGAATAGATTGACGGGAAAAATCCCTGAGGTGATTGGTCTAATGCAGGCCCTTGCTGTTCTGTAAGTGAGCTTAATTGAACTTTTAGTATTTTATTCGAGTAGGATTTTTGCAGCAGTATTCTTTTTTCCTTAGTAGAGAGTTAATTTGCTTTTTAATTTCCCATTTGTCTTCCAGGGATTTGAGTGAGAATGAACTGGTAGGGCCAATCCCACCAATACTTGGCAATTTATCCTACACTGGGAAACTGTAAGCTCGGCTTGCTTTGAGGGATAGTGTCACCTTGAATGCTTCAGTATTTTGTCTTGACACGTTTGTTATTCCAGATATCTCCATGGCAACAAGTTGACTGGGCCAATTCCTCCTGAGCTTGGCAATATGTCTAAACTTAGCTATTTGTAAGTAGCCTTATATGATACAAACCTATAGATGTAATAGTTAAATTTCTCTGATTGAATTTGCTTTACAACTTTTATCTGCAGACAATTGAATGACAAT